GTGTTTGAACAGCAGCTTGTGTGGGTGGTATTTGGGGTTTTCGGATATTTTTAGGGCAGACAGAGTTCTTCGGATAGATTAGAAACACCAGGCATTGTGTGAGTTTATGTGTTAACCTCTAAAAGCCACTTTTTAACATCTCGACTTCCATGTACTTCTCAGGTCTTAACGGCTGACCTAGCCACTATGACCTGACGTTTGCCTGCTTCACTGCTTGAGATGGTGAAACCTCCAGTAGGTTGAAAAATGCTTTAAAACTTGATCTTAGCACAGCTTCTGTTTTTATGAGGCGAATCCTGGAATGCACATGGGAAGTGGTTGAAAAAGAGAAAACAGTCCAGCATTTTAGATTTAATGTTTTAGATTTCAACAATAAAGAAGTCTGGTTAAGACGTTATGCAGCCACCTCAAGATTAAACAATGTTCAATATTGGCCATGGCATCATAATGCTTTTGTATTTATTTAATTACTCAACCAATAGAAGAACTATTTCATAGATTGCTAAGATGTTTGATAGTCTGTTAATGTCTTTCTGGTACGGTTTTATGGAAAACAAAGACTGCAGCATAGAGTTTTAATATGCAAGAAAAGGTAAAGAAAAAGGGGAGTGTGGGCTGAGAGTCGTTTACCCAGATACTGTGGAAAATAATTAAATTCCTTGTTTTCAGGAAGCACAGATGTACAAAGCTATTTAAAAAGGAATGTCGATTGGAGATATGTATGGTTCGTTAAGGCTGTGAGAGAGCGAGAAAGAACAAAATCTTCAGCAGATAACAGGATGGATAAACGGAATACAGCAAAATTAATCTTTTCAGCTTCGATCTTCTGTTATGCATTACGCTGATTAAAATTGTTTTTGTATTCTGTTAAAAAATAAGGCAGTGATCTACTTTCCCTAGAATGCACATTGCACAAGTCGTAGACTACTCAACTAGTAATAGTTCAACTATTTGAATTAAACTTCAAACTCTTTTTAGTTTTTATCTATTTTTTAAATTAGTAAAAGCCATTTTTAGGTTGTGTGTCAGTGACTCTTTTCCTCATGTAAAGTGAGTAAAAAAAGATTTTAAGTTCTGTTTTTCGTATCATAAAGAAAAATCTGGATTGGCAAGTCTCTAATTTTCACAAATAATATAGATAAGATAAAAAACGTAAAACTCATATTAGTCATTAAAGACATTCAAAAAATGCATGACTCATGTTTATATGTAACCACTTTATACCCTCGAGTTCGCCTCTTCATGCCTTTCTCAACCTCTTCCTTGTCCTCTGTCTGTTTGATCCTCCAATGTTTCCTGACTGGGATTTAGAAAGGGAAATCACAGGTCAGACGGTTTAATGAAACTTCCAGTCCCAGCTGGACAGACTGAAAAATATGAGCGGATCCAGATTAATGTCAGACGTGCTGTGCTAATTCTGCTTTATACACAATCTAAAATATCACCTTTCAGATAGGTTTAAATATGGAATACCTTCATTTTCCTGTATCTATAAAAAGCAATTCTGGGACATTATTTAGACTCATAATTTTCTAAGCTCAGCCCTGTGTGTCATTTAAATCCTCCTTAATCAGAGTGCAACAGATGGATCTCCAGCTCTGTTTCGAGCCTTAAACTGATTAATTTCCCTCTTTGCTTGTGTGCGTTCTCTCAATCCAAACTAGTTCTCAGAGGAATGAAGAAATGTACAGACACTTTAAGCAGATGCTTATAAACTCAGATCTGATGGACTAATGTTTGTCCAGTGTATCGTGTCTGTTAGGTGAAATAACTGAAACCTCTAAGACACACTGACTCTCCCAGTAGCATTAATATTTCCACAAATAATCACTTCTTTCTATACTCCCACATAATTTCTGAAGCAGTCACCAAAAAACCATCTCTGAAGTTCAGTTGCTCAAAGTTTCTTATACAATTGCAATAATTATCTCAGAGAGGATCAGTAAGCATTAGTGCACACACTCTGTGTGTTTATTGCTCATGTTTCATTTAATTACTGATACGTGTTATCTGTAAAGGTGGAACAAATTCCAGCTGGAAGTAGGTTGATTAAGACAGCCCTAAAGTTATGAAACCATGAACTATTAGGTAATTTTCTGGCTCTGCATCAGCATACAGCAGGTTTGATAAATGCCAGTTTTGTCATATACAGCATACAAAACTATAAAATGAGAAGTATATGCATGCAAATATCAGGGATTATCTTCATTTTTTTTTTTTTTTTTACATATTGTGCTCGTTCTTAAAGTTTAGCTGCATCATTCCAAACAATTACAAAGTGGAAGTGACTTCTCTCAATTTTCTATTTTAAAGGATCAGTAAAGTTTGTATTTCATTGTAACCAAACTCTGGTACTTGCCTTTCCGTGTTTGATCTATCTGATGCTGAAAGTGGAGACCTTTGACTTTTTACTTTCTACAGTCAAAACTCAGAGGTGCTGCTAGTATAACGTGGCTGTTCTTGGTATGGTGCAAATGTGGTTTTTCAGTTTCTCACTGGTCAGATCTCGCAATTGCAGTGAAAAGCAAATTTCTCAGTTCATTTTTTTTTTGTGTTTTTTGTTGTTAATTTTCTCTCTTCTGTTAGGGGTTAGGGTTTCTGTAATCTAAAGCAAAGCAAACCTGATCTATCAGCTGAAATCTAAGTAAAAAAAACATGAAAAAAAATGTTATTAAAGCATATCACTGCTGACTTTAATGTATTTTCCAGCAAATATTCCCAATTGACAAGTAGAGAAAAAAAAAGATTCCTGTGGTTATTTTTATTTATTATGTTTCTGAACACAGAATTTCAACACTTTGATCTTCCATATTTTGCTGAAACATCTTATTACTGAGAGAAGGCTCTGCCACCTCCTATACTTATGCACTGGGATCTGAGATACGTCCCTCCTCTCATGTAAAGCATTGTCCACGGTCCAGCAGAAGCTATTACGCATAAGGCTTAAGTGGGCAGCTCATTGTGTTGGCTCACACAGGAGGAGATGGAGGACCCCTGTCAGACAAAGACCTCCGTTTGACGCATAAACAATGGAGCTGGCACACAGCAGCCTTCAGCCTGGGGAGAGGAATGGCACAATGGGTGTGTTTCTGCTGCAACACAGAGGAAGAGTTTGCACGTTGCTTTGTCATTGTAATTCAGAGTTGTGTTGAGATAGAGAATACAAAATGTATTCAGCTTATTATTTCATACAGGACAAATTTTCCTGAATATTTTCAAAACAAGTACATATTTGATAGGTTTGTCAGCATCATACAATTTGTGTAAAAGGTCGTGTCAGACCCTCTGTAGTTTACAGGATTGAAGACCTAATAAGCTAGCAACATTTTTTCTTACCCCTGTGAGTTAATAGTGTAATGTAAAATCTTCAGAATGCAGTGAATAATTAAATGTGTGTAAAATTAAATTTCAATCCCCATATTTTAAGTGATAAAACATGGATGTAATGATTAGGATTTAATGTGTTCCTGGACACCAAGCTTCATAAAAAAGGTTTCAAATGTATCACGTGTCCTTTGTGGCTCTGACGAGCTATATTTTGCACTTGAGCCTTACATGGTCATGTATGCCCTCACTGTCCTAGACACACTAGCATCCTGTGTCACCTTCACCGTTCGAAAACAAGGATGTGCTCATCTGAGCTAATCTTACAGATTTACTGTTTATGGTCTGTTTCCTGTTTTTTACTTCTTGTTTTTAAATGTAGAATCAAGCAAAGTGTGACACCAAAAGGAGTAAAAATAAAATAAAATATGACCGGTTGCAAAAGCCAAGACATATATTGTAAGAACTTGTGTCTGACTACTTCCACAGCCTCCTGTTAACAGTTTCCTATAAAGTGATGTGGATAATTTAGCTTGATGTTTGAGGGCCTGAATGATAGCAAATCTGCTCATTGCATCAACAATGGACCAGAAAGAGCTACATCTTTTCATTTAGTACATGAGTCAGCATTTTGGTTTTCAGGGGAAAATTATTGCCCATCTTTTTTTGGAAACAGTCATGCTCCATTAAGTCTGTCTGGAACTTCTGCAGTCACAAATGCTTTACATTGAGCTATTAAGAATGTCTTAAAAATAATAATCTATTGGCCTTCTTTGCAAGGCGGCAGCAGAGGTTTGGCAGCTGTGATGAAAGGCACCATTCTTCTGTGGAGAGAAACGGGGATGCTAGCAGCACTTGGACAGGAAGGAAGTCAGCCTGGCAGCCTCATGTTGGGAGAAATGTAGGAATAGAAAGGTTGCATGAGTCTGGGAGTGAAGAGCACACACAGATGGATGCAGAAAGTGAGACAGGAAAGTGTATAAATATCTGTGATACGTTTACAGGATGTGAGCATATTGATTCTCTGTAAGAGCGAAGTGTGTAAAAAAAACATCATTATATAACCATTAAGGGCATACTGTCTCAATTCTGCTTAAGGTCTCAGTAGTTCATCACCCATAAATACATAAATAATGCTGTACATTTAGTATTAAAAATATACTTCATCTTAATTTTGAACTAGCTTTGAGACTTCATTTTGATTCATCAAACCAAACGGGGAAATGGACGTATGACTGAAGATCACAATGTCAAATTTATATTTTTATCATTTATATTTTGTAGGTACTCTTCTTCTTGAGTCTGCAATCTTCCCATTGAATATAGGCCAAGTCCTGGCTGTGCTTTATCCTTTCTGTGTTTAAAATAAATCCCTTTTTTTTTAAATTGGTCTTATTTAATTAAAAAAAAAAAAAACTAATAAAATCTATTGAATGATTCATTGATCACTTACTATATTTAATTTCTGAAATAAGACAGGTCACATGTGAGAGCCAATCATGCTGAAATTGTCAGAAGTGTTGCTGTTGTAAGAACATTTCTGTTTTATATGCTTGCTGTTATTTAAATGTATAAGTAGAAAAGATACATGACTCTTTATCTTTGTGCTTAAAGCAAGTATTTATTTTTTTATTCTTTACCAAAAGTAACATATAAATGTCTTTTATTCCCTTCAGGTTTGAGAAGGGGAGGATTTACACCTACATTGGTGAGGTGGTGGTGTCGGTGAACCCGTACCGTGCCATGAACATCTACAGCCGGGACACCGTAGAGCAGTACAAAGGTCGTGAACTATACGAGAGGCCGCCACACCTATTTGCCATCGCTGATGCTGCTTACAAAGCCATGAAGAGGAGGAACAAAGACACTTGTATTGTCATCTCAGGTACAATGAGAAGTTCAAGAATCACAAAAACACACACACACACACACACACACACACACACACACACACACACACACACACACACACACACACACACACACACACACACACACACATATATATATATATATATATATAAAAACTTGACTGTTTCTCAGATTAATATTCAACTTGGCCATTAGCAATGCTGTGGAGAATAAAGCACCACTCTGTGGACAAAGAAGGAACTGAGAAACTTTAAATCTTAAACTATTTGGAAGTTTTACAGAACAAGAAGCATGATGTAAGAACATCATACTTTTTTTTTACTTTTGAATGAAGTAAAAAGAAAAAAAGAATTCCTAAAAACAAGCCCAAAAATGACTAAAGGATTGACTTGCACTGAAACTGTTTCAACATTATAAGCAGTTCAAGTCTCGTTGCTCGATTTGCAAGCCATGCAAACCACTGCATAGTCTTCAATGCCAGAAATACTTTATGGTTATATATTTATCTTTTTCTTTTTATTGCAGGGGAAAGTGGTGCAGGAAAAACCGAGGCCAGCAAGTACATAATGCAATACATAGCTGCTATTACCAACCCTAATCAGAGGGCGGAAGTTGAAAGGTGAGCTGAGTTTTGGCAGGAAACACGGATTTTGTCTAGTTGGATTACTCTCTTGCTTTGATTATATTTGTGGAAACCAGTCAGACATGTTGAGTAGGAATAAATTTTTCTTCAGTCAACCTATTCCTTTCATTGCTTTCAAGGAGTCGTAGTCTTCTTGAAATGCTCACCGCCTTATATCAAGGCTCTTGCATCATAGTCAGATAAAGTTACAGCCCAGCAAGGTGTTGTCATTGTCTCAGGTAACTGAGCAACTGCTGTTTGCCTTTAAAGCACAAAAAATTTTATTGCTCCACAGCACAGAACAATCAATCATGCTTTAGGGTGTAATTAACCTGAATTGATATAAAGAAGATACGTAGAGCTTTTTGTAAAGCAAACAAAACGCAGGTCGGAGGCTGAAAGTCAAACATCACAGATTAAATATTGGACAATATGCAGTGCTGGTAACACACAGCAGACTGAGGAAGCATAGCTTCGTGTTGGGGGTGTATTGGTCCCATTTTGCAGCCAAAATAACAATCAAGGATTGGAGTCCATTAAACTCCTAAAGGTCCATTGTTGTGTCAAGCCCAAAGAATTTAGTAGACCAAGTCAACATCTCAAACTCATTGTTCTCCCCAAAACATTACAGAAGAATTTTTGCTTTATCACATTATCCTGTTGAGAGACCACAGGATGAAAAGGTCACATGCTTTGCCACAATGCTTAAGTAGAAAGTAAATGTCAAAGAGTCGTCTATGTAGATGGTGGGACTCCAGGTTTTCAGTTCTGAAACTCTTCCGCTGTTCTGAGCCCTCCCATTTGCCATAATTTTTTTACCCTTCTTATGTCACTTTTAAGGACAGGATGTTGGCTTACCCCACCCACTAACAGGTGTCATGTTTAATATATAAGCTGTTTGTTGGCTTTACCTATCAGTACATATTATGTTATGCCTGAAGGATTTATGTGAGCATTTAAAATCAATAGTACAAAGTAGAGTTCCTTATCTCAAACTGTGGTTTACAATAAAGGATCTTTGGGTCAAGTTCAATGATTTGTTCTGTCTTGGTACACTTTATTGTGACCCATCCAATGTCAGAAGCAACCAATTTGCCACATTTATGTGGTCTCTTGAACTGTCTGTCGTTATCAAACTCTTGCAGAGCTGATTTACTCTTAAATCCTTTCCCATGCTGTCTCTACCTCACTTGGCAGCTCAGAGATTTAGTAGCAGTGGATTGACTTTAACTGACCTTATGCATACTGTTAGGTATGGTGGAGGCCCTGTCATGCCAGGAACATTGTTAATGTGCATGGCGTACTAAACTGAGTCATCACATTAACAATGTAATGTAAACACCATGCTGTTAGATGGATGACCACAGATGCAATGCTTTATACATTTTAGGTCTAGACTGCTGTTATAGAAGACTGTACACTGGTGATATAAAGATGTTACTAATGATGTTTGAATATTTTTTTTTCTCTGTACCACCTTCCCATTTCACAGAGTAAAAAACATGCTGCTGAAATCCAACTGTGTCCTGGAGGCCTTTGGAAATGCCAAAACCAACCGCAATGACAACTCCAGCCGCTTTGGCAAATACATGGACATCAACTTTGACTTCAAAGGGGATCCCATCGGGGGCCACATCAACAACTACCTACTGGAGAAGGTGAGGTGGTATGATATTAAAATGGGACACTTTGGGATGGGATAAAAAGATTTGTTTAGAACAAATTTACAGTCCTGTCAATTGTATTTAGGTCTAAACTTTGACTGAGCCATTCTGATACATCAATTTGAGTTTAAATAAATCATCCAATTTTAGCTTTGACTTCTTGTTTAGGCTTTTCATCCTGGAATAAGATAAATCATCACTTCATTTTCAAGTGTTTTGTGTTCTTTGACAGCCACTCCATAATTTTCCCATTAAACTTGTCCATGACTAAGAAAAGTATTCCCACAGTATGATGCTGCCACTTCCATGCGTCATGTGTTTGTTTCCTAGAAAACTGAGTGTCCTGGATTTTTATTTTTTTTTTTTTATTGGTCTTATTTAACCCGAGAAGCTTCTTCCATATGTTCACTGTGTCCCCTGCATGATGAGTTGTTCAGTCATACAGATTTAGATCTATATTACTCACTCTGTGTGACTTTCTGTGTGATTCACTGGATTTTATTTAAAGCCATCAGAACATCCAAGGCTGAAGACAAATACATGCCACAGTTTTTGATGATGTTTCACACAAAATGCTTTTAAAATACATTAACATTTGTGCTGGTGAATACTCAAGAGGTCTGAATGCTTTTCCAAAAATCTTCTACACATTCCAAACTATCTTTATGTTGAGCATCAGTGATGAACATGAAGACCATTGTTGAGTTCAATTTATGATGTTGTGACTTCACCAAACTGTGGTTTTTTTTCTTCCTACTAAAACAGTCCAGGGTAATTTTCCAGCAGGAAGGCGAGAGGAGCTTCCACTCATTCTACCAGGTAATTATATTTGCACATCTGGATTTGCATAAACTCTGTGTTCTGTTGCACAAACTTCCTTGTGCTTTTTTTTTTTACATTCAACATAACCATGGGAATGTTGACTTGTTTTTCTATTTTTAGCTCTGCTATGTTTTGCACATGTATGTATATTCTAATCTGAATCGTGAGTCAGTCAGAATCCTCTTTTCCCTATTTATAGGAGTATATAAAGTGATTCTTGTGGATGTTTGTGTTGATACTTCAGTTGTATTCACAGATTTGCAATGAGATACTTCTGCTTCATGCATTTTATTCCTAAGATTGACAAAGTTTAATTTAATTCACAGAAGTTTTCTAACCAAATTATCATTTTAAATTTTTTTTTTTAAATTTTTACTAGCTGCTGAAAGGTGGTCCGGATTCCCTCTTACGCTCTCTTCACATTCAAAAAGACCCAACAGCATACAACTACATCAAAGTTGGAGGCCAGATTAAGGTATTTCAGACTCTTTGTTAACATATGAATAATCTACGTTATCATACTTAAAACCACATTTTTCCTAATTAATTATTAATACTTATCTTATAGGGCATGAAAGTAAATCTACGTTTAAAGCTATATGTTTGGGTTTTAGGAACAGAAATGTAGTGACCCTTCAGGCAGAGCTGTACATAGCTTGATCCTTTTCCAGACCTTTTTTTCAGATCTGCTTTTTCTGTTGTTGAATGAGTCAGATGATTAAGAACAACATGGAACCAAAACACTGTACAGCATCCAATTAGCTGATGTCATGCAGCTCAGCACACCCAAACAGCTGAGGTGTAGCTTTCCACTGTGTCTAAGCAACTTGTATTTTAATTTCCAGGAAATCTGTAATTTCACAGCTGAACTAGAAATCCAGCCTTCAAAAAAGAAATAGGCCACAACATTCAGTGGGAAGATATTACAAATATTTTTTTCCACTGTTCTGGTTTATAGAACTGATAAATGTTGAAACAATTACACTTTGTTTTGTGTTCTTTGAATTATTTCGTCAATGTGCCTAAAGCATGCTTTTTTTTTTTTTTTAATCTTTTCAGTCTGGCATCAATGACAGTGCTGATTTCAAAGCTGTAGCCGATGCCATGAAAGTAATTGGGTTCACAGTCGACGAGATTCAGACTGTTTACAAGATCCTGGCCACCATCCTGCATCTGGTAATACACAGAAAACCTCAATCCTCTTCATCTTGGTTGGCAAGATTTTTCCTTTTGCCACCTTAGATAAAAAAAAAAAGTACATTGGAAAGGACTGATGTAATTTCAGTTATGCAGCTCAGTCACTCCTAGAAACATTCTACTTAAAGTTTGATTGTTGGACTTTACTTTTATAAATGTCAAACTTTGGCATTATAAGAATAAAGGACTCATTATGTTTGTTATCTTGCCCAACAAATAATGAAAAATGTACCAACAGAACACTGTGCCTCTTATCATGGGAATATTTTCCCCCTAACTTCCCTGAACACATGCTATTTTACTCCAAGTAATTACAAGCAAATGCAAAACTCATGAAACAGACCGTTGAAAAAAATGTGACAGAAAATGTTATTCTGCTACCTCAGATGGCAAGAAGCTCAAATTTGCTGAAGCAGGTACTTTAGACACCAAGAAATATAAAATGTAGTTTTTGCTCTTTTTTATTTTTTTATTTTTTATTATTATTATTTTTATTGAAACAATTTGCAAGTAATAAGATGTCTTATCAGGCTAGAGTGAAAGGATGTGAGCCATATCAAATATTTGGTCATAAAATTAGCAGCACCATAATGGATTCTGATGTTGAGGAATTTCAACACTTTGTATATGTATAAATATTACTATAACATTACAGTTTCACTGAGCTAATCAAACATTATGGCATTAGTTTACCTGCAATAGGGATGCTAAAATTAGGATATTGAAATAAGAAACCTCCATAGATGTCTAATTCATTTTTATGTCTTGGAGGGGTTGAAATGATATTGTAAAATCAGAGTAGAGTAAATACAGTAGGCACATAACTCATTATTTAACCTAGACTTAATTTAGACTTACTAGTCTAAATTATTGTTTTAGTTTCCTATTTATTGCAAGAACATAAAATATTTTTATTTTTCAGAAGTTCTTACTTAAACAGAAAAAAAAGGTCAATGAACCCACGTCTTCTGTTCTGTCCTGCAGGGAAACCTGACCTTTGGAGTCGATGGTGATGTTACCCTGATAGAGAACACAAAGCTTGTCTCTGTGATTAGGGAGCTCCTTTCCACCAAGGAGGAAAATGTGGAGAAGGCTCTGCTGTATCGCACAGTGGCAACCGGTCGAGACGTCATTGAAAAACAGCACACCACACAGGAGGCCAGTTATGGGCGAGATGCTCTTGCAAAGGTTATTTCTGGGCACCAGTTCTGGTGACCTTTTTGTATGTATGTGTTTTTTTTTGTGTGCTTTTTTTTGTAGCAGCACTAAAGGGGTTGTGACATTTCACTCTTTGCTTTGTGTTACTTATAATTCTAGTTATCGTAGTTCACAGAAACATGAGTCACAGTGTTTTGGCATCAGACAGAGACTGAACACTGTGGAGGATGCAGTTAATGTAGGCAGTTGCAAGACCAGCGCAGTGATGCTGTTAACAAAAAAAAAAAACCTGACTCATTGATATTTTGGCACTTTTCATTCCGGTTACTCAGCTGTTGCTAAGCGTTTGTGCCCTGAGATAATCTGAACACAAACAAGTGCAGCATTATTCCCCTCCACACTTCTCAACATTTTACATTTTCCTCAGGCAATGTATGAGCGTCTGTTCTGCTGGATCGTTGGCCGCATCAATGACATTATTGAGGTGAAAAATTATGATGCCAGAGTCCATGGAAAGAACACGGTCATCGGAGTGTTGGACATCTACGGCTTTGAAATTTTCCAGAACAACAGGTGAAGATAAATGTGAAAAAAATTGTTTGCATTTATGTAAGACAATATTTCACAATTTATTTTATGTGCCTATTTTATTTCTTTAGCTTTGAGCAGTTTTGCATCAACTACTGTAATGAAAAGCTGCAGCAACTCTTCATTCAGCTGGTTCTAAGGCAGGAACAGGAGGAGTATCAGAGAGAAGGCATCCCCTGGAAACATGTATGATGTGTTTTGTTTTTCATATTAAACTATGTGAAAAATTTATCTTCCATCCTTAAAGCAATTGGCTATTGAGTTTAGTCGGCAGTACTGGTTGTCAGACGGGTTTGAAGCTTTCAAAGCACTGCCATTGCATGCAAAGTAGTCAGTGCACTGCCATGCCATCAAAAGCAACAGCAGGTGTTGTCAAACGTTGAAAAATCAAAGAAACAATGAAATCCAGCTTTATAAATAATCAGGAAAACCCCTGATGTCAACAGTCCCAAATGGGAAAGAAAGTGGCTTCTTACCAATCTCATATAAATCTAAAATGGCTTCTGGATTCTTAAAACTTAAAAGTATTTGCATTATTAAACATGTATATGTATTTTAAATATAACAAGATAAGAGAAGAAACAATGGATTTTCATGGTTTTCCACAAGAAGTTTGCACTGCTGGGTTTTCTTCCAAACAGTGTGTGTGTGAGAGAACCATCTCAGGACCCCATAAAAGGGAGGTTCCTAGGACTCTGAAGTAATTCACAGTTTACACAGTAATGTATCTACAAAGTTGGAGTTCTTTGTGCACTTAATGAATTAAAAAAAAAACATTTAGATGCTTCTGATCAGATGAGAAATAAGAAATTTACATCTGTTGCCAATTGATTGATGTATCTACTTGAAATTTTGCCGCAAAAACTTTTAATTCTGGTGTGTGTGTGTGTGTGTGTTTTTTTGTTTGTGTTTGGTTTGCATTTTATCATGTAATCATTTGCATATTTCTGTTTTCCAAACTGAATTCACCTCTGTCCTTGGTCTCGTTTTTTGTAGATTGATTACTTCAACAACCAGATTATTGTTGACCTGGTGGAGCAGCAGCATAAAGGCATCTTCTCTGTTCTGGATGAAGCCTGCATGAATGTGGGCAAAGTTACGGATGAGGTCTTCCTGCAGGGACTGAACGTCAAGCTGGCCAAGCACGCCCACTTCACAAGCCGCAAGGTAGGAAGAATGAGCTGCAGATATTAATCATGTTTTTTTTTTTGTTTGTAGTATGTGACTCTTTGTAGCAGAGTTGGAGTAGATCCAAAACTATGTCTTGCCTTTTTGTAGTTTTGTGTTTGAAACTGATTGGACATCTGCACCTCAGACTGTTTCCTTCATTTTGCCTTTCTCATGAGCTATGTGCTATATTGCAATTACTATTCTTGTTCAAATGCATTAAATATCCATATATATATACAATAGGAATTGTTTGCTCTCATTAAATCATCTTGATACAGAATACCAGCTTTTTCACATCCTTGATGTGGCTGGAGTAATCCAAGTGCAGCAGAGGGCAGGTTTCTTCTTGCGTTAAGCAGCTTTTTGTGCTGTAAGTGGAAACTGAATAAGCAGAAAGATTCACTGTCTAATTTGTACTAATGGTGTCATCAGACTCCTGAACCAAAGCTAAGCTAAATGTCCTGTTATTCATTTTTGTTTGTGACATCTTATCTTTTTTGATCTAATCGATATATGACACAAAAAGGTCTACCAGGGGCAGAAGTTAAAAGATTTCATTTTACAGATGTTTTTTTCTTTTTTTGACTGGAGATTTGCTGCAGTCTACTTTCTAAACACCAGGGGGCAACAACTGTCAGGATTTGTTTTTTGGGAGTCTGACTCAACAATTTGAACAAGTGATGTCACTATCAGCCTATAGGAGAGTGGAGGAGACATATTTACAGATTTATGAGGAGAGCCATACAGGAGAGCTAAAGTTAAGTGAAAAGGAGGGCAAAGGATAATGCTGATGCAGTTGGAATGCATTTTGACAGTGTGTGTGTGTGTGTGTGTGTGTGTGTGTGTGTGTGTGTGTGTGTGTGTGTGTGTGTGTGTGTGTGTGTGAGAGAGAGGGAAGCTGTTAACTGAAATATATAAATCAACAGGCTGTGCCAAAAAACTGTTCAAAGTCTTCATGTTCCCATGTGAAGCAAAAATGCCCAACAGGCCCTCCATAGTTCAGTACCTGGTACCCACTGGAGTTCAGAGTGAAAAAACTACCCTGCTTCACGGGGAGCTGTGAATACAGAAGGACTGAGGCAAAGATTGTACTGCACAGTTTATTGATCCCTGAAGCTTCCTTTCCTCCTTTCATCCACGAGTCGATATGCTCTTCAATATCACTCTTCTTCTGCTGCTCTCTGACCCGCTCCTCCTGCTGGAATTTCAAAGACATGTAGGGTTTCAGAATACATTTATCCTGTTGGTGCTTCCTGGAACTAATATCTTCACGAATCAATATTGTCTGGAAACCTTTTTGTTTGCTGTTCTGTTTGAAGTCCTGTTCCTGCAAAATGTTGCTGTGAATTAACTTTTTTCTGTTAAGAGATAATACGAGTTGTTCCCTGCTTCAGTGAACCCCCTTATTAATTAAGGTGTAAATCTTTATTATGTTGAGTGTGAATACAGACAGGTTGTTTGGTTAAAAATGAATTTGAGTCTTATAAATAAAAGAATAATTGAGCCTTCAAACAAATGTTTATACCATCAGATAAATGACGTGTAAGCCAGCCCTTTCCTACAGTTTGTCACAGAGGTGAGATCAGTAAAGGCTTTGCTCACCTTTGTGGCCAGTGGTTAAGGTTACACTGGTATGCAAGCTGTCCACTGACTACTTTGCATGCAATGTCCCATGAGAAGACATAATCCAATTTTTACAAAAATGCAAGGCATTTGTGTGATGTTGTATGTACTGGTTGTGTCTCCATTGGTGGCAGCAGCTGCTGTCTGGCATTTGAGAACTGATAACCTCAAGATTGTCTGCTTGAGAGCAGAATTCATGGCTCTATCTATAACAGCAAGTCCAGAAGCAGTAAAACAGTTTCTGACCATCACATTAGCCCTGCCATCTTTGACTAGGAACTCTTGAAGTAATTTTGGCAGGTTGAAACTCAAATAACATTCTTCATTGTATGCAAGAGCATGTGACTCTCGCTTGGGTTTTTGAACAGTTTCTACACTGATATATGTCAAAGACTTAGTATTTAATTTATTGTGAAGACTGTTAATCTATTAAGACTAGGTTTTTAGCCTAGTTCATGTTATTAGATGTGTTCTGTTTTATTGATTATACATATAGTAATTGGACAATGGTCTGAGGGAGATAAATTTTTCATATAGGGTTTAGGGTGGTTTGTTTTTTTGTTGTTTGCTTTTAGCCTTTTTTATACTTTATTGCAGTAGCTGCCACCTGCTGGTCACATTATTTTTACACAGTTTATTGAGCTGCAGAAAAGCATTTTTACAAACCCCATACCTCCTAAATTTTGAACATAGATAAGACATGACTATTTGAAAAGATAACCCAAAGTAGTTTTTGCATAAGTTTTTTTTTTGTTTGTTTTCTTTCCGCTCTACATAATTATTTAGACTTGGAGATTTTAACGTAAAGGGGAAAAAATAAGAGAAATCTTGCTGTTTCATTACAACATAAAATTCTTGTCTCTAACTCCATGTGCAGGGTGTATGGTGGTTCTTGGAAAAGGTTTGAAATTCACAAATGTTTGAGGATAGGAATTCCACACAAGTCTCCAAACTCTATAATCCACCGAAATTCGGCAGCTTCCACCATTCACATATTTTCCCTCGCAGACAGTCTAAAGCAGATGTGAAGCTGAAGTAGGAAACGAAGTGTGAGAAAGAAAGAGTTGGTGTTGGTGAGAAGCTAAGAATTAAATATGAGGTGAGACATCCACACCAAGAGGCAGGAAGAAAGAAAGGTGCTGAAGCATGTGGAAAGACTGTATGATAATCACAGTTACATCTGTAGTTAATGATGTTTGACATAGACTTTCGGCAACATTACAAAAACTGTTTTGTTTTTCCAGCCCATAAACTCCATCAGAAATGTTACAGCCACAGCAGGATGTTCTTTTTGTCCTTGATTAACTTTTATTGCCTGTTATGAACAAAATAATAAGTAAAAATATATCAGAAAACTAATATAATGTGTCATACAGAAATGTAGAACTGAGAAAACACTATTGCACTTGTAAGAAAGAAATGCCTAAAAACAATGCAAAACGTAAACAATAAAGAAAAAAAAAACCTAAGACAAATAAATGTCAATCATAAAAATTTCATTTGAGAAAATCAAAAATTAGTTTAATAAGAATAAAAAAGTCTGCAGAGCCTTAAGATGGATAAAAATGACAACATATACCAAACAAAACACAACTCTGTGTTAGATGGGCTAATTCAAAAACATCTATTACTATACAAATAAAGCCTGAAAAGATCTGTTCTTTTTTATTTATTTACATTTTTCAAATGTTTAGCATTTGTATTACTTGTTTCCTGCTGCAAACAGAGTACACACACACACACACACACACACACACACACACACACACACACACACACACACACACACACACACACACACACACCCACACACACACACACACACAACACAACACACACACACACACACACACACACACACACAAAAACAATCTGCAGGAACAGAGTGAGTCATAGGTCTTGGCCTACGGAGATGCTCATCTAACAAGATCTGTGCAGCATGTCTGCTTTTTTCTCACCCTCTTCTCTGTGCTAAATTATGCTACACTGGCCGCAGACTGACGCACAGGCACTCTGTCCAGGCTGTTTCATTGCTTCAGTAACTCGCTCTTTACATGCAGCATGTGGTCAGTAAATACACTCAAGCCGCACAGACGGCGTGCTCAGATCGGCTGTTTCCACACTTGGGGAAAGGGTATGTGTACAGAGTTTCGATCCATGACAGATGCACTTTGTTGTGATTCTAGCCCAGTCTGTATCATCTCTCTGTCATGATGTTTTCCAGTCAAATGATCAGAAATTCCTTTCATTTACTTCCCAGGGTTCTTGCTCTTATCAAATACTCAAGTTGTTTGAATACTTGGAAGCTTCTGGCTTGTTTACATATTTTCTTCTACCTAAAAGGATATGTTTAAATTTGCATAATTGCATGTGATATTTATTTCCTGCTTGTTTTGGGGCAGTAAAATCCAGCTGTCTGCAACATTTCTGCATCTGATTGTTTGTTATAGCTTTTGACTTTAGTCCAACTAGATTTTGAAAAGGTTTTAGCCATGCTGACCAGCTGCTGTTAAGTGTCAGACTTGTGCAGTTCATTTTTAAAAAGCTTTTTTTTAGGTCATTATAACACTGCTTAACTTAAGTCGTCAATTTAGCTATCTATCTGTCTAGCTGCCTGTCTGTCTTGAGAAATGGGCAACTTTGCAAAAGACCAAATTTAACTTAGATGCCTTTATTGTAACTTTATAGGGGCCTTAAGGAGTCTTTTTGTAATCAATTGCAAACTATTCATCATATTTAACATATTTTATCATAGTATCACAGATGATATTGTGATATTGTGAGAAAACAGTCAATGTTATGTAACCATGCGGCTAAACACAGTTTGGCTAATATTTCAAATCAAAGAAATCATAATTATGTAGGTCTTTAGCGACTTATATTATTGATTAGCAGGGTGAGCACACCTGACTATTAAAAGACCCCTACATCAAATGAATGCATTTCTACATAATGCATGTATAAAAATGATAAAAAAACGACATTTTAAAACATGCTGATCTTTTCAGATATCTTGCTGATGTGAATAAAGATTATTTCTTTTTTCAGTAACTGTGTCCACACTGAAGAGGGCGAGACATGTGGCTGTCGGTACCGGTAGTTCATTCACCAATTGGAACAAGATACTTTGATACATTTACATTAACTTATAAGCAATCAAAAAAAATAATCAAGTAAAACACACAGTCGAGAATACACACATCTCCAGCAGATTTATCTTCTCCTTAACATCTCACTTTTTCTCTCCCCAGTTGTTTTCTGTTTGCGACGCTCAGTTTACCTTCAGCTTTTTGAGCGTACCTTTCACGTAGATCTCAGCACGTTGCTTGTACAGGTGCAGAATACTAACAAGTTGTTTGTGTATGTGTACTCCA